CCTCAGTAGTGCTAGCAATGCTTTATGGGAATTATCAGCATGGCTGAAGCGATCAGATGACTTGGCTGAAGCTTCATTTTGCAGAATCAGTATCACTATTTCATTGTACTCAAAATAAAACAATTTCTCTGTTGAACATTGCAGAGATAGAACGAGCTGATTGCAGTCTTGATAACTTTAGAGGGTATGGCGAGATGACTGCAGTTGTAACCGAGCGCTTGAATTTTCCAACACTCATTCATTCCTGTTGACGAGCTGTCATTTTGCCAGCCGTGCTGGCCTCGCTCCCCTGCGAGTGAGGGGGCTGAGATTCATCATGTAGATGGAAGTGCTTCCATCAATCAGCCAGCCCTGAGATAGCAAGCAGTTTCCATTTACAAGGCAGTTTTTGTTTCACCGCTGTCTCCGTCTTAAGATCCTGCTTCTACCATTAATGTTATATCTTTTCATTTGCTTTGAGTGGCCTGTGTTATCAAAATAAAAAACTCGACTGCATCTTTAGATGCCAAACTCTCGATCTCCTTTTCCAATTTCCTTATGCTACTTTTACTTTATAACACATAAATTTCAAAGAAGGACCAGGAAATGTGCGCTTGCCTTTGCTCTCCTCTTCTGAAATCTCCTCTGCTCGCTTCTTGTCATAGCCTTCTTCATCTTCCTCCCTCTTTTCATCCTCGCCCTCCCTCCACTCCTCTGCAGACTCAGAGACGTGGCTTCCCGGGCTTTCATCACTCTCCCATTTCACCTGCACTTCTTCAGCTTCATTGTCCCCCTGCAACTCGCCGTCTTCCATGCCTGCTTCCTTTTCATCTTTTCCAGCTCCCGTCCTCTTGGACAGGATAGATCGTTCGCCGGGGCCTCCTAAAGCCTCCAACATGGATCGATCTGAAAATAGGGGAGAGTGGGGATTTAATTTACTAGAAGAAATTGATTTTCTAGTGATGTTAAAAGAAGGCGCTTACACAAAAGTACTACAGTTTATTATGGGGTTTATTGTTGTTACCCCCATGTTTTTGATTGACAGTAGGAGGCATATGTAACCCTGACAATTAAAAAAAAACAAAACAAAGCCCATTATCTTCTTCTTTGACCACATTCAAATTGCTATTCTTGTTTTTCCTTCCCACCTTACCATTGTGTGATTGACTTTGGTACTAGCACTGATTTAAAAAAAAAAAAAAATCTAGGTATGCTGTTATGTGGAAGGACGTCACACATGTTCTGATTTATTTCCCTCACAGAGCCTCAGCAGAAGTTAAATCTACCTCAGCACTTTTGATGTGTTTTTTAGCGCGACTTTGCTGAAAAACATAAATAATGGAAACTATACATCACTGTCACAGCTGCTGCATTTAACCCACCGATTAGATACGCCATAAAAAATAAGAAGCATAACCACATGATGTATAGGAAGGTGCAGCTCACCAGGGACATCATCTGTAGCCTGAAGGGTCGGTGCTGCTGCTGTAGGCGTATCAGCTCTCCCCCGACCACCTTAAATGAAAATGAGTCGCTCGAGCCTTCCATCATTCTTATCTTCATGCACACGTAAACGAGATGAGTAATCCGTGACTCACCTTGAGCAGCGATCTCCTGCATCTCCTTCAGAAAGTTTTGATGACGAAGGATAGTAACAAGTCGGTCATCTGCACACACACACACACACA